ATTTAAATAGTTTAATACCTGAATTAGTCTTGTTCAGTTAAGACATAACAAATATTTCATGTTATAATTGTTAAATAAACTAATTAAACGACTGAATGTGTAAACATTTAAACACTGCATAGTAATGATAAATGGAATTATTAGATGATAAATCCCAAAAGGTTTATTTGAAGTGTCCAGTTTGCCCACATGATGTCGCCAAAGCTACAAATGGAAGCCTCTGAAGTTAAAGTTGTGGTTTGCTCTGTGTTTGTTATGGACCACATGCTTTCTTGTTTTACCACATCAGTTCAGACTTTATCAAAACACTTCTACTTTCTCCAATGTCAAAATAAAAGAGTGACTTGCTAGCTTACACCACCAGAGGGCTTTTAGATTTCCACGCTCTTCATTTTGCTCTGCACATTTTATTACTTGGTGACTCATTACATTCAGTTAATGTTAAGTTTTGCTTGATCCAGGGCTGTGAAGTGTGGCAAGCAGTTATTATATTGCGTTTTCAGATACAAACGCTAGAAGCTGTCCCAATCCATTGGTAGCTTGTCTTTCTGTTCTCAAGTTTATTAAATGCTTCATCAAATTGTTTCATTGTTGCTAGGTTTCGCATCTTAGGAGGTAGCTGCATTTTTTATGCATCTAAAATCAGACCAAATCATGAACTGTGTGCTAGAGCAGAGCACACACACAATAAGTACTATTGTTGTTTTATAATGAAAATGAAAATCCTTTTGTGCACTACCCACTCTACAGTCAAAAAGTCCAGGAAAATTAATAGTTGCAATCTGCAGTGGATCGCTGTGTAACAAGATTTAACACAAACATATAATCAGTATTTCTGTGCTTTCAAATAAGTGGCCACTCAAATAAGTGGACTACTTGAATTGCAAAGGCAACAGCATGACCTCAGTGTAACTCTAGAATTACATATGATTAAGCAAAGAAAAGTTCATACTTTGGCCTGTGCATAATCTTAAACATGTAGTTTGTCGGTTTGGTCCTTCACTCATTGAACCTGATACACATCACAGATACTCTTAACTTAGTGTGTTAACTAAGTCTTAGTTAATGAAGTGTTTGTACCAGATGTTTGTCTAAAGTTTTAATCCAATATGTATATAATTTGTTATAGACAGCACACAGGTCTCATTTTGACTTTAAGAGTAGCTTTTTCAATATAAGTGTTTTATTGTCGGAGTTCAGAAAGTGCGTTGTTGGCATGCTAAGAACCAAGGAAATTAGGAAAACTTTAGACCCCTACAAACTGTTAAATTAGGAATTAACGTTTTTCACATGTTTCTCATTAATATCTTAAGGACAGAATGAAACTGATAATGCAGTGTGGAGTAGACGTTTTACAGCAAAACTGGGAACAACATTCATTCATTGATTTTGCTCAGTGACATAATTTAATGCATGCTCACTCCTCTTGACTTTGGGATTAGAGCTGTTTTAATTATACTAAACCAATCACAGCAGTCGACCCGCCCAGAGACAAACTCTATTAAAGTTAAAGTTAACCCACATGTTCCTCACTCAAGCTGGACATGCCTCAGCTAACTCACCTGACCATAGCTAAAAAAAAAAAAAAAACTCTTTAAACCTGGTTAAACAGAAATAATGGGACCAGTGTATTATTTAAATATGGAAATATAAAAGGTGAACACTTGTGAATGATGATTGAATTAGGCATTTCACAGGAATGGGGAAGAACAGAAGCACCGGGCCAAATGGGTCATGAAAAGCATGTTGGAAATCCAGGTGTCTGAGGCTCATTTGTTATGCTGGCTGTTGGTGACTGTTAATTTCTCTTGAATATGTATGCACTTATAATGCTGCTACATGTGCCCTAGTTGAAATCAATCAATGTAAAAATCTGATGTTAAAAAATATGATTTTGTGTGTGTGAGTATTGCCAAAGAGAAACATTTAACATTTATTGTTAATCCCATGCTTTTATCCAAGATTTAATTGTGAAATGTGCTTGCCTTTTCCATTAGCAATACAATAATTTAGTAAGTGTAAAGATGTCATGTTTTCTGAAAGTAAGTCTTGTCCTGTCCTATGATTTTATCATTTTTGCATTATAAGGCATTGTTGTAGATCAGACACATCCGAACTATGACCCTCCCCCTGCTGAATTGGCCCAACTGATCATAGGCAAATTTTTACTACAAATTTAAGTAATTCTGCCACCACTACCTCAATAGCATCACGGTTCATTGTGATATAGACCTAAAATAACTGTTCTAAGCATTATTAAAGATACAGTGGCTCTGTCAAAGCTGTGTTAAATCCATCAAATGAATGACTCACTGTATCGACACTGGTCTGTGGCTGTCTGGTTCGAATATATTCTTCCAGTGAAAAAAGTTTGGACACCGTTGATTGTTAGAGAAATTCAATTTCTGTGGTATACAGAAGACACTCTCTGCCAGCTAGTTATCTTAGCCTGTGCCATCGGAGGTATACTCCCTACAACAGAAGCATACCTGGGCTGGCCTTGACTAGAATGGATAGCACTATCACATTATATTGAGGGTTCAGATCTCCCGTACTGATGGTAAATAAACTCTTTCTGTGTTCATTGTCGTACCTCTTCTCCAAGTCTCTGACTCCTACAGTTAGTTTATTCTACAGTTATCACACCTGAGTCAAGTGTGTGGAGTCGATAGTTAATCCAATGTAAATTTCTTTGGGTTTTATGATGAACACTGCATATCAGTCCTTCATTAAAGGTGCATTGTGTAATGTTACTAGTGGAGGGTCTGTCACCTGCTTGTTTCTATGAATGTCATTTCTCTGCCTGGAATGTCCCACAGTATAACATTAAACAGCTTGACCTTACATTTATCAAATTATAGGTGATTTTTATAGCTAAAAAAAAAACAGGAATTCTGATGTGAGCGGTTCAAAAAGTCAAAAGCCTCTCACCATATCTGACCTCTAACTTGCTGTGGTTTGGTCACCATAAAGACAGAAAGGTTTAATACCATACTGTGAAACATTCCAGACAAAGCACTAACATTTCCATGGAGAAAAGCATTTGACAGACCATCCACCAGAAATGTCTATGCACCTTTAACAAATAACATAGTATCTCATTATACCACAAAATTACATGCAACTTAAAATACCCCTTTCTTCATCATTGCACTTACTTATGTTTTCCTTTTTCTCTAGATTATTTGCGCCAAAGCTACGGCCTGTCCACAGACTTCGCTGCCCCGTGCGACTACAACAAACTGGTGCTTTCTCTACTGTCGGGGCTCCCAAATGAAGTGGACTTCGCGGTCAACGTTTGCACTTTGCTTTCCAATGAGAGCAAGCACGCCATGCAGCTGGACAAGGACCCCAAACTGGTCACGCTCCTGCTCGCCCATGCAGGGGTCTTCGATGACTGTAAGTTCACTGTGTAGTAAAGTTTGATTATTGTAGTCATTAACTAATTAAGAATAACACTTTGACCATATCTGTCCTCATTGTTGACACTAGAGTTAGACCCATATATTGGGCCGATATTTTCTTGTTTAAGCTTATGGGCTATCTGCCTTAAATTTTTTAAAGTTTTGGCCTACCTAATGCCTAAAGAGTACACAAAGCTTTATTTAAACCCTTTAAATGCAAACATTTATGACATTGTAGTACATTTAAATTACAAACTTTGGGGTAAATAATCAAAATCAATCCAAAAATATCTGCCTAAAAAATATTAATTGGTATTGGCATTGCCCATGGAAAAATTCCACATCTGTTAATTTCTAGTTCGTACACAATAATATTACTCTTATGTAATTACTTGCATTCAAAATATAATGTCTACATCCTAATTTAAGAAGCACTGTAACTTTTATAGTAGCCTGCCTGCTCTACCTGCTTGTCTCCATGGAGATGTTGTTGCTTTTCCTGCAAAGCTATTTCAGTCTAGTTTGAAAGTGTGGTTAAATCAGAGTCTTTGTGCTAATGTCGTGTTTGTGTTTGCAGCGCTCGGCAGTTTTTCTGGGGTTTTTGGGACAGACTGGAAAGAGAAAACCTCCCGGGACTTTGTCAGGGTAAATTTGCTTTTACACGACTTTTGTTATCTCTAGCTGCATTTTCACAATGTTTTTTTGTTGTAGAAACTATTTATCATGTTCACAATATGAGATGTTTTGTTTGTAACTTATCTTGGTGTTTTGTAAAATATTATTGTCTGACAGTTGAACAACTTAATATTGATTGTTGAGATGGTTGTGTAAAGGTCCAGTCTTATCTTCATTTAATTTGGTTAATTTTGATGTTGCCAGTGCTGTCTTGATGCCTTTGAAATTTGGATGTTTGCGAATGCATGGAGTACAACAGCCAATCTTTCCTATTGATTGCATATTTTTGTGTAGTACGTATTTGGAAAAAAAAAAGTTCTGAGTCTGATCATTTCTGTGTAAGACTTGGCGGTTAAACTAGCTGAAATCATCACATTAACAATTTATTTGCCTATCCATCATCTGCCCCCAAGAATTATTTAATAGAATCATTTTTGCTTAGGATATGCATCCACATTTAGAATAGTAATTCATGCTTTCATTTTGCAACAGCGCTAGATTTTGAAATGATAATAAAACACAACCATAGAACTTATTTTCTTTGGTCATTAAAGTTGATTTGAGGCAACTTGGGTGACAGTAGCACTAGTGTTTGCCCTCTAATCTGTAGTTTTGCGGTTCAAATCCTGCTTTCGACATAAAGATCATTGCTTGAGCGGTCAGATCCCAGCTCCCACAGATGAATACTATCGTCGTGTCCTTGGGCAAGACACTTAACTCACAGTGCCCCTGGTGTCTCTGTACACTTGTGAATGAAAGTGGGTGAGTGGTTACTTGATGTAAAGCGTGTTTGACTGCCTTGAAGGTGGAACAGCACTATATAAAAGAAACACACTTGTCACAATCGATTGTTTTTTGTTTTTTATTCTACATTAACAGTTGTTCTTTATTAATAAATGTCTTTGGTCAATATAGTTCTGGAAGGAGGTGGTGAAGACAATGAAGTCAGAGAGCTCCTTTGGGATAAGACTAGTCCAGCACAAGGTAAATGCCACATTACATTTATGTCAACCTCTTCTTTTCTTTCCAAGTAGTTTATCGACAGCAAATGCTATGCCAATTTGAGCTATCTGTTATTTAAGATTTCTCTGCATTAAAGGTCTTGATGTAGAAGTTACTGACAGCTGCTGAAGGCTGCTGCTTCAAAGGCCCACGTTCAAAGCTTTGTCTAACTGTGATATATTCTTATTGAAGTTATGCTGAGCTGTAGTGTGAGAGTAACCACTCTCTGTGGTTAACCAGGATAAGTGTGGTCTCCTACATTTATTTATTATGGATTTGAGATGGGTAGTTTCGATCCTCTGAGGCTTCCGTATCAAGTAAACTAGGACCACCAAAATGCACTTGTCTTTTTATAAATTGTTGGAATTGTTATTGTTGTTCTCCAGGTTATACCATTTAGAAAGTGTGTTGGGTTCCTCTTTAATTGAACTACCATATTTTATCTTAGATTTTATAGCTGAAGTTTGTGTATCTTAGTTATTGTGACAAGAATAACTGAGATTACATAACTGTCTACTGTCATTTTATTATATTATGTATTAGTCAAGTCAGTCATTAATATTAATAGTTCATTTTAGTTTCTTTCCAAAATGGAGCAAAACTATGGTCTATGAAGTTCCCTCTTTTTGTAGCTAGCTTCTGCAGCGAGATATAGCATTTAGGCATATAGGCTGTAGCATTAGCCCTATTGTTTACATACAAGGTAATTCAGCTTGAACATTCTGAAGTCGTAACTTGAAACATTCAAGTGGGAATTAACTAATATCCCAGTTGTCTTTATTACGAATAGGATATATTGCTGTTCGATATATTCTAGCACAGAATGTTACTATTGGGAGATATACTATCGTTATTAGGGTTGTAAAAAAAAAAAAAAAAAAAGAAGGAAAGGGCTTGCCAGATACAATCAATACTTCATCTAGTATTAGAAGTAGCTACTCATTTTAGCAGGTACTGTGAAAGTCACTTGGATAGGCCAAAGTCGGTCCTTTACTAAATAGTTTAAACCACAGTATGTAACTTTTTCGCCAAACAGTAGACTTAAAATAAAAGCAAGCGTTCTTTCATTTTGGATCTTTATTGCAATGAAAAACATGTGCCTTTACACACAAACCTCCACAAAAGACTTAATTTAACTATGTGGTCTATTCCCTCCAGGCCAAATAAGAAACTATTATTAATTTATGTTGAAAACTTTCTACTGTATAAACTTTTCCCCATCATTGTGGTTTTAAAATTGGACTTGTTATTGTGGTTCTCTGACTCTCCCCCTTGTCGCTCTCTCAGAAGGCAGTGAGTGTTGGCTCTTCCACCCCCCGCGGGCCCAGGGCATCAGCGACATGGAGTCCCAGAGGGTGCTGCAGGTGGCGGTGATCTTGAGAAACTTGTCCTTCGAAGAGGCCAACGTGAAGCTGCTTGCCGCCAACCGGACGTGCCTGCGCTTCCTGCTGCTCTGCGCACACTGCAGCCTCATCTCGCTCCGACAGCTCGGGTTGGACACGCTCGGGAACGTCGCAGCAGAGGTGAGAGAAATGCATTTTAGAAGTGGGAATAAGAGGTGGTTTATTTTCACTGGATACCATTGTAATATCTAGAGCAAAAGGGTTCTCTGGGGCAGTTATTGGCCCGAGCCAGTAACAGGGTAACTGGCGAGGGCTATTATTCTTCGACTCTTTCTTCTTATCTATTATTATTTTTCCTTGCAAACAGCTGAGATTTTGAAGGCCTAAACTTTGACGAAAAGTCCCCGAACCAGGTGTGGGATTGACCGTGCTGGTGAAAAATTGTTACACTTCTCATGCCCACAGGCATTGGTCTAGACAGCTTAAATTCAAATCACAATTGCGTGATCCTGGCCTAAATGTAATGGATAATAAAGCCAATACAGTGGTACACTGTAGCACCCCCTACCTTAGACATGAAATGTCAATATCGGATTTGTACCAAATTTGGGGATTACATTCTATGCATGACTTCAAGCAAAAAAATATATATTATGGCTGGCAGGAGCACAGCCATCTATTTTGGATGTAACAGATTAAATGTAAAAAAAAAATTATTGTGGACATGGGTCAGTTTTATGGTTTGACTTTCTAACTTTGTAATGGCTGAATCAGTGGTCTCTGGCTAAGCATAGATAAAAGGCTGCCAGATTTTAAAGATGCAAATTATAATTTATGCTTGTAGTGTTATCATAAACATATAGAAGTCAAGTTCAATGTGTAATCAGTGTTATTTTGCTCAAAGGCAATAAGTAACATTTAAACACCAACATACTGTATTAAATAAAATTATTGAAATATGAATCATCTGTGCCATGTACCATAGTCTTAGTATCAACCTGTGAGAAACACTGCTAGATGATCTGATCTCAGAAGCAACAAATCCTTACTTTGTTGTCGCAGTAAACAGAGTCCATACTGACACTGTGGTTGCTTAAATGTATGGCTTTCCTGAGGCGTGTTCCACAAGTAGCAGTTAAAATAAAATGCCTCTAACTTGATTATCTATGGTTACAAGTTGACATGATCAAGAGGAACTGTGGGTCAGCAAACAAATTTTGAAGCATAATATACTGCTACAGAGAAATATTGTGATTAATGATAATATTGAAACTACTTTATGTCACTAATTAAGATTTAAATAATTCAAAATAATCCCAATAAACCATTTTAGCCACTTTCATTAAAATTCAAGAGCTGCAACAATTAAATGGCATAATGTACCTCTAATTAACCATAAATGGAATTTGTCCACGCTTCTACAGCTCAAATATCATATTACAACAAAAATACCCAAAATCTCCCTACTTGTACAGAAGAATTGTGCACATAATAAATATTGAGCCCCAAAATATATTGTTCTAGTTTTCGTATATTGAACTATAAGCTGATATTGTAATTTCTCCTGACAGGCCTAATTGTGGGAAGTTACAGGTGGGCTAAACCAAAAAGTACTTTGTCACATAGGCAAGGCAGGACCAGGAATATTCAATCAAAATGGCTCATACAGGTCTATTATTCCTATTGTATTGCAATAGCAGTGTAATTGCAGACTGTTCACCTGCTTTCAAATGGGTTCACTGATGAGTAAGAGAAAATCAATCCTTTGCACAATGGTCATTTGGAATAACTTTTTTTTTCAACTGGCATCAATAATTTAAAATAGTTTGACATTTTTCTTTAATACTCCTTATTTATTGTTGTGACTTTTCCATTTTAGGTGTAATAAAGAAAATTATGTCTTCTAGCTCTACAGTGACTTGGCAGATGTTTTACTTTTAATTCTGATTCAATCTTTTTATTTAATTTACTCTGCAGAATCACTTCTAAATGACATGTATGACAGCCACAGTAGTCAATTGGTTAATGAGATGAGTCCATTTGAAATCTGCTTTAAAGTAATGCTGGTTTTGGAGAGACTGCCTTTGAGCGCTGGAGCTGCAGAAACATTGACTAATAAAACGGGCTGTGCTGCCAGATGGTGCGATGTGTCACCTCCACACAGTCTGTTTTTCAGAATACACCACACACATATTAAAACCAAAAGGAAATCTGATACTCTCTGAGCCTAAAAATATAACAGCCAGCATACAATATATTTTAGAGATTGGTAGATAAATTTCAAACGCTTCCATAAATTAACGAGGGCAGTATTTTTAGATAATGTGTGCACAGTGGCCCTGATGCAGTCTTTGATCTTATTAGTCTGTACTCCTCGGTGCATACTGGTAGTTTAATGTGTAAGAAGTAGAAAATGCACTTTAGATTAAAGCAACTAGGTTACAGATATTGTGTTCATTATATATGATCAAAACAAATCTCTCTTATCCTTTGATTTACTGAAGATGCAAAACAGTGGCACGTTGATTTCAGAAAACATAATATTAAACATATATTTTGTTTCTTCTTTCAGTTGTGTTTGGACCCCATAGACTTCAGGACGACTCACCTGATCTTTCACACTATCACCAAATGCTTGATGTCCAGAGATCGGTTTCTCAAAATGAGAGGTGAGTTTTTGGAGCCAAACTTTATATTTACTTCAAGATACTTAAAACGTCTTTTAGACTTTTGCAATATTGGTGCAAAAAATCACTTCGTGCTACAGCTTTTTTTCCCTCAACTTTGGATCACATTTTACTTTGTCTTCCTAAAAACAATTAAAAATATCTTGCAATTTAAATTTCCTTAACATAAAAAGAATTTCAGACATTTAACAGAAAAATACATCTGAACTCTGCTCCAAACCGCATGCTTTTGCTGAGAGAGGATAATTTAAAACTTGATTTAAAATAATTATTTGCTCATCCCTAGTTAGAAGCAACATTGTATTTTCATAATTACTAACCATCACTTACAAATTACATATATTATTTTGCCTGTCCCATCTCCTCTAAACACTTTAGTACTTTACAATGTACCAACGACATCTGAACGAAACCTGCATGAATCTATAATCTTAACTGTTGTGTCCGGTCGTGTTTCGTAGCCATGGAGATCCTGGGTAACCTGAGTAAAGTGGAGGACAACGGCGTGCTGATCTGTGAGTACGTGGATCAGGACTCGTACAGGGAGGTGATGCTTCTGCTCACGCTGCCGGACCTCATGCTGCTCATGGCATCTCTGGAGGTGCTCTACCTTCTGGCTCAGCTCGGAGAAGTGCCCTGCAGCAAGATCTCCTCTGTCGAGCACAGTATAGGTACGCACACTTTATGGACCTATGTACTTTATTCTGATGAGGTGCCTTAATATTTTGGCTACTTAATTTGTGTAGCTCAGTGTTTCCCATAGATTTTGTTTAGGCTATGGTGTTTTCGTACAGTTTATGGAATTTAAATGTCACTTGCCTGTACTTTTTATTCAAACAATGTTTTTGAAGAGTTGTAGGTACTTTTTTATCTGAAATCTATCTACCTAGCGATTTTTCTAACTTTTGATACTAAGGAATAGAATCAATTCTCAATACTGATTCTGATACAACAATGAGAATAAAAACACTCTTATATTATTATTATAATATTATTTATTTTGTGATTTTCAACATTAAATCATAGTACTTTCTTTTATATTACCATGTTGTCTTATATCTGTGTAATCCCTCAGTCCAGGTATTCCATAGTGGCCCATCGGTGTATATATATATATCTGTGTGGTCTTATACTTGTTCTGATACAGCCCAAGCTTTAGTATTGATATTTGTTCAAATGAGAATCTCATTTCAGGAGTAGTCTGCCAATACGTTTGGCAACCCTACAAGGAACTCTAGTGCACCTTGAAGTATTGCCAGACATTCTTTGTGTAAAAAAAAAAAAAAAAAAAAAAAAAAAGGATAGGATAGGATAGGCCCTTGATATGCATCATTCTTTTCTTTCTTTTTTTTTTTTTTCTTTTTTTTTGTTAAGGGAGTCCTTGGCCTAATATGGCTAGATTTATAGCCCTTAACACAGGTTAGGTAGGTCATTGTATTGTTTTGCAGCATGTCTCAAATGTTAGCAATGGTGTAGGGACATTCTATACCATTGCTAACAATGCCAATTTATTCTGACCATGAGACTGTGATTTCTAAAGAACTTGGAATCACAAATACATATAAACGGGGAACACTATTCTTGTAAAGTTTGACATGGGTATGCGGTATGCTATGCTCTGAATAACATAATACACGTGAAGCTTTATTTACAATTCATTACACAGTGCAGATGGAACTTTTCCACTACCCTGATATGGCATTCAGAGAAAAGGTCCTTATTTAGCTATGTTCTGTTAATTTTACTTTTACTAAATGCACTTTCCTTGTTGCATGTTTTAAAACAGGTAAATAAATGTATTAAACTGAAACACACAGCTTATTTTAGGGCTGCAGAAATCAGATATTTTTGGTTGCAACCTCTTGACCTTGATTCATTTCCATGCCTTCTCTCTCCTACAGACCTGTTAGTACGGTTAGTATCCATAGACCTACACACATTTGGCCCTGATGCCCTGACAGCCGTGAGGTTGATAGAGCACCAGGCTAATGCAGAACAGGCTGCTGAAGTGCGCCCTCAGCTGGTAGAGCAAGTCCCTTCAGCTGTACCGGGAGCCCCAGCACCAGGTGAGACTTGACTGTGAATGAAAGCACTATATTATGTTGTATATGTTTGGTGACATCTAGTGGGGATTCAAGGGTTAGACTTTTGAAAAATATTTCATGGTCTGATGCTTTTCCCAATGTTTAGGTCTTATTTAGTCCTGGTTTAGTCACTCCATCTGTAATACAATAGATGTGTGATAGTGAATATGTGGGTAAAAAGATAATGAGCTCACAGGAGACAAGAGAAAGGCCAAAGAGGAGATTAAAAGCTATAGAACACTACTTTATATTGCTTTGAAGATAAAAGTGAGGACATAAAATTTAAATCTTTACAAAAAGTGAAAACCCTGACCAGCATCTTAAACTGAAAAATGTGCCAATTTGTGTCTCAGGGCTGTTTTCACCAAAACCTTCCACAGTGGAGTCTTAATAAAAACACAGAAAAATGGGCTATTTTTATCTTTTGCTCTTTTCGAACAGGACGCTTGCTTGCAAAATTAGCATTCAAAGCCAAGCAAGTCTTTGAGATACCTGTGCGAAGTTACTTGTAAAACTGTCAATAAAAAAGGGAGAAAATCAGAGTTACCGTTTCAGTAGTCATTGCAGCTGATTCACGTATCAAATTGCATGTATAGAATATAGAATTTCCATTGTTCATTTTATATAATGGGTAATATATGTATGTGCATTGAAATTAAGTATATGGCTTTTTCTATGCCTTTTTCAGTGACGAGAGTCCCAGGGCAGCCCACCCAACCTCCTCCGGGTATCGTCGAGCTTGATGGGGAGAAATTCACACTGCAATGGTACGTTTGAAACATTTTGTCAAGCTATGATAATTTAAAGTCTTTGTTCCAACCTGTTAATTTCCTCTCTTTCCTTTTAGGCTGAATGCACACTTTGAGACCAGTCCAGAGGGCAGCGTCTCCAGATCGGACATGTACTCGGAATATCTGACCACCTGCAGCAAAATGGGACGAACCAACATTGTCAACTCCACGGGCTTCCTCAAATGTCTACGGTCAGTACTTAGCTTCTCTACACTATGCCAACCTTTGTATTAGCCTTCACTTTCTATTGATATGAAAGTAATAAAATAAGTGCTGTAATACATGTAGAGTCAACATTCATCTTCATCTGCAGCACAATATTGATTCCAAATAAATGTTGACAAATACTCAAAATCAACCTTGTTTTTTGAACATGTTGACAATCTTAAATATGATTGTTATATTGTTTGTTATTGTAATAATTGGTATTTTTCTCATTATACAGCCTCTTTAATCATAGTCTACCATCAGTGCCCTAATGAATTTTCCCTACAGGACTGTGTTCCCAAACCACACAATGCGGCGGCAGGAGGAGTCCAAGGCAAATGGACAGCTCCATATTCTCCTGGTTGGGATCAAGCGGAGAACGATCCCTCTGCCTGTTCAGCTCTACTATCAACAGCAGCAGCAGAACCCGGCAGCACCCCCTGTGGCTCGGCACGAAACTCCGGGAGACCCACAAGCTCCTCCTCCAGGTATGTGCACTGTCCATTAATAAGACTCCTTATTTACTTTATCATAAATGAGTTATTTTGAACACAGAAGTAGAAACTTACAGGTGACCAGTGTCCCAAAAATATCTTGAAAATAATACATAATCTGGTCTAGCTGACGCATGTGTCATCCATCACTTTGCCTGTATCTTCTTCTATACCATTTGTTGTTTTAGTTGAAAACAAAAACTGAAAAAATCATGTTGTTGTTGTTGGCTTGTTAAGGTTTAGGAAGCTCTGTTGACTCTGCAGATTGAAGGCTACATGAGTCATTTGCAAAGGACTGTATATGTAGTTCAGTATATATTAACCATTTCTTTCATCTTTGTGTCCGTTCAGGTTTACCACCAGGACATCCCGGACAGTTTCCCCGACCCCCAGTTCCACCTTCACATGACTCTCCGCACCCCTCCCAGCCTTGCGCCCCTCCACGCCCCCCTTTACCTGCTCAAATCTCCCCTCAGATCACCCAAAACCCACAACCACCTCTACAACAACAACCTGTCCCAAACATCCGACCTCCTATGGCTGTTCAAATCCCCCTCAACTCCTCCTCACCCGCTCTGCAACATCACAGTCCGCAAATCACTCAAAACACAGCGCCCTCTACTGTCCCTTCTGCGCCACAACAACAGCACTCTCCTATGCTTCCCAGTGGGACCCCAGTCACATTATTCCAACAAGTACCACCTGGCCACATCCTCACGGCGCGGGTACAAGGTGTGTGCCCGCCAATCCAACAACCACAAATTTCCCCACAAATGGACCCTTCTCAAACTTCATCTTTAACAGGAAATGGCACGGGTACTATCCCAAATGCACCTAATTCACAAGCCTCTAGGGTTGCGTTTCAAAATATTGCCCCCAAACCAGCTCCTGCTACTTCAATAGCCAATCAAAATCAAAGCGTAGTAATAGTGAGTCCACAGCAGTCGCAAACATACAATCCTGCCATTCACCAGATAGTTTTAGCTAACCCTACACCCCAAACTATTCAAATTGCAACAGGGCAAGCCTCCTCTTCCACCTCTGGCACGCTTTCACCCAATAACATGCATTCAAACCAAAACATCAGCCACACCCTGTCCAAAAGACCGCAGTTATCTCCAGCGTCCCCTATTGCTCCTCCACCGCAGCCTACCTCCACAGAGTCAAGCTTAATCAAACAGCTATTGCTTCCAAAAAGAGGTCCCACGACACCAGGGGGAAAGCTAATACTACCTGCCCCACAAGTACCGCCTCCAAACAGCGCCATTGCCCCAAGTACACAGGTTCTTTACCAGCCCCCTCAACCACAGCAGCTAAATGTCCAGTTGGTCCCGGGGCAGATACAGACACCGGTTGCACCTACGTTGCTAATGCCGGGGCAAATCATTACGACGAGTTCATCAGGAGCGGCCATTATCCAGGCTCCCAGTGCCGCCGCTGGGATGGCGTTCACTGTAGTTTCCAACACGGGGTTCACGAGTTCCACGGCGGCAGTTGCTGTTAGCCAGGGAGCAGTGGCGCCGAGTGTTCCACCAAACTCACTCTCATCTGGGACAGTCCCACAGCACGTGCTACAACCACCCCAACCGCCGCCCCCACCTCCAGCGCCCCTCAGAGGAGACAAGATCATCTGTCAGAAGGAGGAGGAGGCCAAGGACGCCACAGGACTGCACATCCACGAGAGGAAGATAGAAGTCATGGAGAACAACTCTATGTCTGAAGACTCTGCCAAAAGTAACGGGGTGACGGAGGGGGCCAAGCTGCTAAATGGGCGCAAGTGCGTGGAGTCAGATCTACCTCCATACCACTCAGGGAACAGCCAGGGGGCGCTCAACGGCCCTGCCTCAGAGGGACATCCTGCCAATGGGAAGCAGGCGCACTCCCCAATGATGGAGGAGAGAGAGCAGCACCCCGAACCCAAAAAGACTCTGGTGAACGGGGTGTGTGACTTTGAGGGGGTGAATTTTAACAAAAACATTCCAAATCACATCGCTTCCAAACAGTTTATGGGGAATGGGGAGGTGGACCCCTCGGAGAAGCCTGTCCCACAGCAGGACACTGCCAAAGCCCTCACCAATGGACCCCAGACTGTCTCTAATGGACCTGTAGGGCCCGCTGTGCCTGCTCTGAGACACTCCTCCCCTCCCCCAGTCCCTGTCCCTGTCCAGAGCCAGTCCAACGCTAACGGGGTCTCCTCCGAGGGGCGCTGCCTCAAACGCCCTGCGGAGGAGGAGCGAACGGTGGCCTCTGGGATCCCAAACAAAGTGGGAGTGCGTATCATCACCATCAGTGACCCCAACAATGCGGGCAGCAGCTCCACCATGGTGGCTGTCCCCGCAGGCACAGACCCCAGCACAGTAGCCAAAGTAGCAATAGAGAGCGCCACCCAGAGGAACTGCAGTGCGCCACAACCCACCAGTACAGGACAGGTGAGTCTGCTGTACCTCTACTTTAAACTAATACATGTGATGTCTTTGTGGTTATATTGAGTGTGAAACTGAATTCTGTTTACTGCTCAGTGAGGAGAACATTGCTCAAGAAGATAAAGTTATAAAATCCACCCCCTAAAAAGTTGTGTAATATTTTTAACTGCGCATTACAGCAGATGTGTTAGACGGCTTACTAACTGGAAAACACACTGGCACGCTATAGTAGAAAGTACATTACATTTATAAATATTTATAAATATATCAATCATATCAAAGTCAAGACCTGAATATTGTGACGCAAAGTCTATCATTGCAACCCCACTACTTGGTGTTGAATTATCATGAAGAAATATGTTTGACTTTTTCATAATATCTGTTCTACCTTTTACTGATAAAAGAAAAATTTTGTTATAAAATTAGTATTTCCTGTTTTTGACACTGTCAGTGTGCCCGTACTAATCAGGACTTCACACAATGTTCCTTCTCCATTAGATAAAGCCTATATAGATACTGTTATATCACTTAAATGACAGATGCAAGTGTAATGGTCTGATATGAGACAGATTTAATGTTCTGTTAAATGTGTTGGAAAAACCCTGACCACAGCAGCTGGACATCTGTTACTAAAGCCTCAGGTCTTCTTCTGGTGTGTCCTAACTGTCTGACACAATCATACTCAGTCATTCAGAGGAAGGGATTGCAGTTTTCAATGTACGGTTAAATCTGGATGTTAAGATATAAATCTATATTTCTGTGCTTGTTGGGTATATAGCTGTTTAAGGCAGTGGCATTTATGTTTTACCACCTCAGCATTGTGGGTTCGCATCCCAGCCTTGGCAGTTGGCTGAATGTCCTTCTCTCTCTCTCCAGATTTCACAGTATAGCTGTCCTATTAAATACAGCTTTCGGGACAGAAAATGTATTGCTTGAGATCAAAAATACTATTTACTTTGATTTACTGATGCTGATCTATTCTGGTGCATGAAGGGAACAAACTTCAATGGTGCTTTTACATATGACACAAGTAAAGATATTTGCTCATAAGATGTCCACATGTTATTCACACAAATTCTAAATATTATTGTGCATTGATTATCCACCATCAGAATAGATCATGTGTCCAGTCAACTGGTGAGTGTTTGTATAGGAGGTTAAGAAGGTGAGGCCAGTTGAAGTATGTGGCTCTCGCTGATACCCACCTCCAAAAAAAATGAGAAAATGGCCGAGAGAGCAACTTGTGTCATGAGAGCAACTGTGGCGCAGGCTACTTCTCTGCCAACAGACCAATCCTTTTATTGTCATTTATGTAGTTTTTTTGCAGATGATATTTTGAAGTTACTGGGTTTTTTTTTTTTAATCATTATATTTGTTAAAGTAGGCCTCTCACGATAATTACTGTATCAACTTATTATTCATTATATGAAAGCGGGAACAATACATTTTTGGGCTCAATATTTATCATGTGCACATTTCCTTTTGGGTATTTTTGTTGTAATATAGAGCTGTAGAGACATGAATGAGTCTCGTTGATGTCTAATTATTGGTAAATTTTGCTGTTTTATTTGTTGCAGCTCATGTCTTTTTAAATTAAGCTGTCTATAAAAATTGTCAACTAGGAGTATCTTGCATTATTGAAATCTTAATTAGTGGCATAAAGTAGTTAATCATAAAAGTTATCTGTAGCAGTATGTCGTGTTTCACAATTTCTTATCGTGACAGGTGTATGTAATAAAAAATGTAAGGTAATAGTTTCATAGAATATAATTAATTTACAGCTAATGGACAATCTTGCAACTGATTTTAATTATTTTTGAGAACTACAATTTTCTGGTCCTGACTGAGTGAAATGTCCTCAATATACCTCTGAACACAAATATGTATTTCTCAACAGCTGAAAACCTGAAGTGACATCCCCACATTTACAATGACTGGAAAATTGTTCTGGGTTTTTAGAATGTGGCAGTAATCTCAATTACAAGAGTACATGTTGCTATCTTATTGAACTGTAATTACTTGATAAGAATTAAACATTGGTCTCATGATCTTTTCTACGTGGTATTAATTCATGCCTCTGGTCCACAGCCCACAGTAACGTCGCCCCCTCTTCCTCCTGTGTCCCAGCCGGCCCCAGTGTCCAGCCCTCAACCCACACCTCTGCCCCCTTCAGCAGCTCCTGCTCCGGAGCAGAGCAGGAAACCAGGGCAAAACTTCAAGTGTCTGTGGCAATCCTGCAAAAGGTATGGCCACAGTTTATTTTAAAATGCATAGATTTGGGTCTAGTAGATTCTTTTCAAAAGTCCTTTATGAGAACATGACTTTGTAGAAGGTTGTTGTGACCATCATACCTGAAGTAAACATTTTAGCACCTAGGTGGAGTAACACTGACAAAAATGTTTGGCAGTTTTGGTTATGACTTGGCTATAAATCTAATGTTGGTTACAAATTTGATGTCAGAGAGATGTGTTTATTGTGTTTGTTGAACAAGAATCATTTGAAAGATTGAAAGAGTAAAATTTATTAACCCCTTCTTTTTTCTGTTTATGTGTAGGTGGTTTGACACACCTAGCAAGGTGTTCTACCACGCAGCCACACAACACGGAGGCAAAGAGGTGTATGGAGGCCACTGTCAGTGGGAGGGCTGTGACCCCCTGCCCCGGCAGAGACTCTCATTCATCACACATCTACAGGTACAAATATAACTAACCATAAGCTGAGAGCAGAAGTGTGTTGTACAGCGCAGTGAATGTAACTAAATATTGAACTAAATATTCCCCAGGATAAGCACTGTTCTCGAGAGGCTTTACTGGCCGGACTGAAGCTGGAGGAGCAGAGGGCGCAGAGTCCTAATCAGACTTCCTCTCAGTGAGTAGATTTATATCAAATTGATTGCCAAGATATTGTACTCCTTCCTCCTGGATCCAATAATATGCATTGAAAATACTAAAAGGAAACAAATTATATGCAATATCCTTTCTTCTTGCTTGTCTTCCCAAATGGGGATTGTTGTTAATCGATAATTTAATAATTCTAATGTTGGATATCTTTCAGGACTCCACCAGTGGGGGGCAGTACTCCAGCACCAAGAGCACCAAAAGCTATTGTCAATCATCCGAGTGCAGCTCTGATGGCCCTGCGCCGTGGCTCTCGAAACCTCGTCTTTAGGGACTTCACTGTAAGTACCACCAATACAAACTCAGATCTTTATTCTCTATGTTGTAAATAATACATATGTGTGTTTCTATTGGTAAGATTTTAGATATTATTAGAAGAATAGTGTTTGTAGTAAGATATTTATTAGTTGTTGTAAGTGAAAGATTTTCTTCTTGAAACTGGGATTCAATAGTATTTTGTGAAGAAAACTTGAAGCTTGCCTCTGTGAAATAAAACACTTTTTGTTATCTACAATAAAGCTTATTTTTTTTCTTTTGCAGGATGAAAAGGAGGGACCAGTGACGAAACACATACGACTCACTGCTGCCTTAACGTTAAAGAACATAGCAAAGCACTCAGACTGTGGTCGCATGTAAGTGTCCAAGTAACCCTAACCCTAACTCTCACTGAAGCAGTCACAGGAGTCCACACTTCTTTGTGCAATCAGCAACCTGTGAACAGTGAGCTTTGAGATGAGGACTGTGATGCACTGTGATTTTTTATTTTTATTTATTTATTATTTTTTTTTTTTAAATGACTAGACCTGACTAGAGGCGTCATTAATAAAAATATAGATGCACTTGCACAACATTATGAATCATAACAAATGCATATGAGCAAAGACACCACCAAATTGTCCTTTTTATATTACAGTAATTTTCCAACTTTTATATATCTGTATATACTTTATCTTGCATATCTATTGATACTTTTATTATTTTACTGTTCTTGTACTATGCATTCTCCACACTGAACTTTACCCACAGAGACTAATAACTATTCTCGTATCAAGGGCTGGATATCATTAGGAAGTTGCCGATACGATACATATCTTGATACAGTGAGCTTTTGATTCGATACGATTCAATATGATTTATTTCAAATCGATTTGTTATGGTTCAATTAAAAATAAAGGCTAAATCATGGCTGTGGTACTAAGTCTTTCTTAAACCACTTCTTGTGCAAATTTC